CAAACAATCTGACCATCTGGCATACGAAAAGCTAACTCCAGCCTAAATGAGGGGAATAGCAGTGCTACGAATAAAAGTGCCGAATGCAGCACGAAATAGGGAGATGCCCACGAAATGGCCCGCACGTTTGTTGAGGGGTTAATCTAAGCAGTAATGAAGGGAAGTGCAGAACGTGGCACACAGGTAGGAAACGTTAAACAGAATAACCTGCACTTATGGTGAGGGGTAATCCCTAACTTGAGAGGTTAACACGAAACTGTCACATGTAACGTACCCAAGGGACTGCCGCTATCCGCCGTGAACCTTGTCTGTGGGGGCTATGAGTGGTTACTTCGGTGCTTGGAGACCCCGGGGGTCTCCCGTTAAGCTACAGATGGTGTAACTAGCAGTACCCACCTGTCACTTACTATTACCGTGGGAAACTATCTCATGGAGCAGTTAGGCGTCCGGCAGCTGCAGGACCTCCTTGTAGCGAACTGGCACACTCACTGTTTACCCGGAAGTGACGTCACACGAAACGGAGCGATACCAAGGAGGAATCTAGTGCCGATAGGGGAGTTCTTATATCAGCACTAGCCCCTCCCACAACTCTGCGCTCCACCTTTACATATATATGTATATATATATATATATATATGCATCATGCATTTTACACGCATCAATAATTTCACATATACATTTCTACACATACATATTATTACACACACTCAACAATGTTGATCAACCTTTTAAAATGTGCAGTTTTACATTTACACTACTTTAGCTGAAACATCTTGCACTGCACACTATGCTGGCTCAATATTGTACTAATTGGCAGTGCCGCTGGGAGCAGTAGTTATATCATGGTAGCCCATGGCTACTGAAATACAGGACAAAGTTTATTCACCAAAGACTAAATTGTCAGTAATTAAAATTGAATTTCATATTTTAGGACAAAATAGTGGATTTGCAAACAGCGCTGAGTGTATGCAATGCAATGGACCAATATTTATTCATTTATGCAATGAAATAAAAATTAAACTTTGAGAATTAAATTGGATAATTTTCACAGTTTATAAAGCTATATAAAGCTAACCAGATATTATTTAAAACCTAATAAATAAATAATGTGATTTTACTGATTTGTAATGTGGTTAAAGGATCACTATAGGGTCAGGAACACAAACATGTATACCTGACCCTATAGTGTTAAAAATCACCATCTGGCCCCCCTGGGCCCCTCATGCCTCCATAAATATAGCAAAATCTTACTGTATTCAAGCCAAAAGCTGTAACTCTGTATGCTGTTAGACTCAGAAAAACAAACAGTCTGCTGACATCATCAGAAGTGGTAGCCTGATCCAATCACAGTGCTTCTCCATAGGATTGGCCGAGACTGACAAGGAGGCAGATCAGGGGCAGAGACAGCATTATTCAAACACAGCCCTGGCCAATCAGCATCTCCTCATAGAGATGAATTGAATCAATGAATCTCTATGAGGAAAGTTAAGTGACTGCATACAGAGGGAGGAGATACTGAATGTTTGGATGCATTTTAGGCAGCCATGACCCAGGAAGGATCTCTAACAGCCATCTGAGGAGTGGCCAGTGAAGTTATCACTAGGCTGTAATGTAAACACTACATTTTCTCTGAAAAGACAGTGTTTGCAGCAAAAAGCCTGAAGGTAATGATTCTACTCACCAGAACAAATTCAATAAGCTGTAGTTGTTATGGTGACTATAGTGTCCCTTTAATGACTATGGTTTAACTATGGTGAGGATCAGCCAGTAATTTATAACAGATTCCAAGTATTGCTGTAACACATTCAAGGGAGAAAACGAGAAGGCTTCCTAAATGATTGATATTTACAGACGGACAAATTGATGGAAACACCAGGGGGCCTAATCACTAAACACTGAATTGTAGTTTATTGTAAACAAGGGCTGTCCATCTCAGAAGGCCGACCAGATGTTCATGAACTAAAGCTCGAAAATGATCTGAATGCTATAACTAGCCAGAGACTAATGGGGATATGGGTGTATTAGTCTTTAGAACATCTGGGGTGCAGGCGTTTGACAACCCTATTGTAAAATGAGCTGAAAGATATGGCCAACAGCAGCCGATTCTCAAATCTCTCATAGTTACATAGTCACGTAGTCATTTGCCTCCATCAAGTTTTTCTTGTTGATCCAAAGATAAATCAGCTTTACTCCCAGATTGGCCTAAATTCAGCATTTCACTGAATTATACACTAACAAGTGTAAGGCTGGCCCTTGGAATTCAAAGTAAATTAAAAACGCTAGGCCACAGCAATTCATTTAGGGAAACATTCTGGATCATTTTTCCAACTTGGCTGTTTTGGGCTAAAATGTAAAATTCACTCTTGGGTTTATTCACTATAATAGCAAATAAAAATAAAAATGTTTAAAATAGCCCAGTTGTGACTATATCTGCTAGCTAGGAGAATGTTTCCTTATTACCTATGTCAGCCTAAATTCTTCTGTCCAGGTATAATTTTCTACAATTTAGAGTGTAGTGAATACACATGTTTGAACTTGATTTGAATTCCCGATGATGCACACATTAGCAGAACCAGATGTGCATCCTAACTGTATTCTGAAATCCCAGTGGTTTACACAAGGTACACATCTGGAGCATTGGTGGTTCAGTGGTAGAATTCTCGCCTGCCACGCGGGAGGCCCGGGTTCGATTCCCGGCCAATGCAGGACTTTTAATTTTTTTTTTTTACTTAAACTACATTTTTATTGTTATTTTAAACACAACATAGTATTTATACACATAATGATACAAGTATCATCTACCAAGTTTTTTACATTTTCTTTTGCATTTTATAATTAGGTTTTAGAGTGGAGCTCAAACACAGTTTCATTTAAGTATTTTGTAATCTTTGACATTTTAACAGCCTTGTAATTTACCAATAGATGCTATCAATAGTTATTAGTATTGCTTCTTAACTTCAGACAGTCAGAACTATTACTAGGTAGTAGTGGAAGAAGTGGAGACAGGAGTGGATCCCAGGTAAGAAGTCTAACGATTCAGAATGGTGTAGTGGTTATAGTGCTTGGAGGGTTTCTTTAACTGAATGTTGCAGACATGTCTAAAACTATACCCAAGTGCCCATATATATTACCAATTGTGGGCATATATAAACCAACAATTCCATTGATATATGCACACTGGATAGACCAGTCCTATATAACACCGTCTGCATGTCATGTCTTAAGTGGTAGTTCATTCACTCTTTCTCCTATTTTCAATACGGGTATATTCAATTTACTACGAAATATAGTGAACTGAAATTTATATGGCAAAGTTAGAGGACAACTGTCACAGCAATATTATTTTATTTCTTCTTCTTCTGTGATTTTAAAAGTCTTTATTCAAGAGATGTGATCTATACAACAACGGTAAAAGAAAGGAAAATGACAATCTGTGAATGTTGTACATCAGGTTGACACGAGCAGCATTTCACAAAGTACAAGGGCATGGGTATATCACATCACATGCAGCGGTTACAGAGAAACAATGTATCACTCTAGCCATGTATAAATCGAAGGAACGGATAAATGGGAAATGTGAGAGGGAAGGAGAAGGCAACCCTTCTAGGCAACTTTATCTAAAAGAAATTATAAAAATAAAGATAATCACAGCTTAAGGGAGATGCAGATCAAGCCACCATTTAGAGTGGTGTCCAGGGAACCAGGGATAGTGCTACCACTACCAACGTTGGGGCTGCCTCACACATTGGGTTGGAGTCAGTAAGCCCCAGTGAACGGTATTCCTCCGATTCTAGGAAACTTTCCCATTTATACCAAAGGCCTGCAACTCATTCTGCAGTACTGTGAATCGAGGCTGCAATGAGTTCCATTGAACGGATTTCCTTAACCTTATAGAGCCAGTATCTTATTGAGGGAGGACTCTCTTTCCTTCAAGACTGGGGTTAACTTGATTGGCATCTGGGTAGGGAGCATTTATACCTCAATTGAGAGGTCATGACGCAACCGGATTAATGCTGGGGTTAACTTGATTGGCTCTTCTGAGACACCAATAACCTTTTGTATAACAGACCAGTAATGGACATACCAAGTTGTGGTGGGGAAATAAGAGGGGATGAAAACCCATTCCACCTGTAGTAAATGGATGAGGCAAAAATATGGTTCTTTGTTGAGCTCATTTGCATACGCCTACCCAGAATCCCTTGCAGTAGTGAGAGCACTGTTAAAGTGAGATCTCCGTAGTAAAAGCAAGTCTTATGACTTGACTGGTGTGTGTAATTGTGTTTAGTAATGTATTAACTAGACCAGTAATGGGTTAGACTCACATATGGAAACATTTCAGCACCATAAATGAAGGACTTACTGTATATTCTGGCTTTCTGACACTACTAAAACATTATACAAACACACATCTTAATGTCTTATCTATTTCTGTTTCAATACTCCCGTTTTACTTATATTTCAGCAATTTATATATAATGTACACATATATGCAGCTGTATATTTGATTGCCTTTCTTTGCTGTTTTTTATCACCTTATTGACTCTCCTGTTTATTTACTTTCCTGCCTACTCTCAACCAATCTGCACCTCTCACTCTCAGACAGGTTTTAAGCTATTTACGACACCCCACTCATCCTCTCTTCTCTAACAACATCATTTGTTTTAAGTGTTAACCTCTATCATATTGATCAGTATTGCTTCGGAGCTGGGGAAGAGAGGAAAACTCTCGAAAGCTTGTCTTTTCATTATTATGTTAGTCCAATAAACAAAAAAAGGTATATTTGAGTACTGCAATACTCTGGTATTTTGAGATTATATATCTATACCTGCACAAATATTAATTATTGATATCTTAATGTTCATTTACACGTAGCATTCAGCCAGTTATTTTTTTCTCACCTTTGCAAGTTACAGCAGCAATTTGTCCAAACTAATAGACTCCACAAGGCTGAATATTAGACTTTGTCACAGCTGCTTCATACGGCTTAAACATTAATTTCTCACAGCCAGAGTTTGCACTTTCCAGAACGACACTGAAACGGATCAGAATGACCGACTTTGGGGATATTTTAAAAAATGTGGGGGAATTTGGTCTGTTTCAAAAATGTTTGGTCCTTATGATGAGTTTCATTAGCCTTTCTAACCCCTTCCATATGTTTGGGCAAGTGTTCATGAGTATCTCGGTACCTCATCACTGTAATACCACCTGGATTCTTGCAATAAGTCCAAACTTGACAGAAGAGCAGCTGATCAACCTTACGATTCCAAAAAATGCAGAGGGAGCCTATGAAAAATGCCTCATGTACACCCCGGTTGATTGGGATATCGAATCCATCGAAAAGTATGGGCTGAACAACACAGAGAGATGCCAGAATGGATGGGTGTATGATACGTCAACTCAAAAATCAACTCTCGTTACTGAGGTTTGTAAACATGACATTTGCCTATTAAATCAAAGGCCTCCGCGCCTACTTTGGTAGACGTCCAGCTACAGGCTATCAAAGACTGACAGCCAGCCTGCTCTCTGCATTGTCCCAGTGAACGCATCTATTGATGCCCTTACATTGTGTTGCCCCTGGGCATTTCCCTGGTGTCGGAAAGCAGGACTGTTGGGAGCTCTGGAAAAGCAACAAGTCAATAAGTTACTGAAAGTAACTTTTCGTGCCTGTGGTTGGCAACTCAGTTTTGCATGTGCTTACATTTCAATTATTAGAACTGTGTGTTTGTCAGAATTGTTTTATACATAATTATATGTTCCTGTAAACTTGACACTAAACTGGTAGGTAGTTTAGTTTACGGCATTTTAGATCTGTAGCAGCTAAGAGCAGCTGCCAATTCTACTTTAGAAGCCCTCATAACATGACTGTCAGGGCCATTTAGTGTACATTTAATGATAATTTAAAAGGAGTTTTATTGAATGCTTGTTTGATATGTAGTTTATATATCACATCACTGGTTCAAAGTGATTTGGAATCTTTTAGGAAACTAAACAACGTGTCAGAATTTCACTGATGTTCCAAAGCAATGGGCAGACATTCATTCTCTGCTTTATGAGAATCGAATCCCAGTTTATGTCAAAACGTGGCAAATGTGAGAGCTAAAATCAGCTCCTGATTCCACAAAGTCTCATTCCCCATCCGCAAGGGGCAGCTGATGGCAGCAATGCTATGCGCAGATGTTGATGGCAAATCTTCCATAGACCCCCAGTGATGTCTCCAATGGCTAAAGATAACGTCTCTGGGAGCTGGACACTGGGCTGGTGAAGCATTGTGATTTAAATTAAATCAGATCTAAAATAAGAAATCTCAAAATTAGAAACTTTTCTCAATACAAAATTATTTGATTGCTTAAATTGGTTGTTATTATTGTTATCTGATTTTTTTTTTTCATATTATTTATACCAATTAATTTCAGTGTTATGATCATTGTATTGTCCAGGTCACTAATAGGCGATGATTTTTAATCAAGTTCAGTTTTAGTCCTGAATAGGGAGACAGTTGTGATCTTGGATTAATGGAGACATAGCAGCACTGTGAGTCCTGACACATAGGGAGCTGGCTGGCGTGCCCTCTCCAAATGAAATTAACATAGTATACTTTCTGAAGTCTACAAATATAGCTTTCTTGCCATTATACCAGTTCAGTTGTGTAATGTAAATGTTATTTCATAAGTTAGAAAAAACATACTTACAAAATATACATGGCGCAGTGCAAAGATGGGGAAAAAAACTGAAAAAAAAGGAACAAAAAGCTGGACTCATTTCACATCTATAAAATCAGCCACTTTTAACATAAAGACTAAAAACTATAAAGATACAACATCTTCCTTAAAGCATTAATGTATTGTCATTAAACGGTCAGAATTTGTTGCCTTGTAGAATACAATCTCATAGAGTCTCGTGTCTCTCCAAACCCCGGTCCCACCCTTGCAATCCCATCCAAAAATCACTCCAATCTCATACCCTTCTCACGCTACTCTTCCTTTAAATCCTCCTTCCACACTGCCCTCTGGAATGCAGTATTACTAAATCCACAGCTGTGCATGATCTTTTCATCTCTCGTTCCCTACAATTACTAGTATTAACTGAAACATGGCTCTCTCCCTCTGACACTGCTACCCCTGCCTCTATATCCTTTGGTGGTATTCAATTTTCCCACAACCCAAACTCTGAAAATAAAGGTGGTGGTGTAGGGTTTCTGCTCTCACCTCACTGCTCCTTCAAACCTATACCTACACCCCCTTCCCTCTCTTTCTCATCATTTGAGATTCATTCAATCTGCCTTTTCAAACCCATCTCTGCTAACATTGCTGTTATCTATCGTCCCCCTGGGTCCCCACTTCTCTTCCTTGACCACTTTGCTGCCTGGCTTCCTTACTTCCTCTCCTCCAGCATTCCATCTGTAATTTTCGGGGACTTCAACATTCCCATTAACCCACCCTTGACCCCAGCAGCCTCAAAACTACTTTCTATTACCTCCTCCCTTGGGCTCTCACAGTGGGCTAATTCCCCCAACCATGAAACAGGCAATACTCTAGACCTAATTTTCACTCATGAATGTACAGTCTCTAACATCTGCAACACTCCATTTCCTCTCTCAGATCATCATCTCCCATCATTTGCTCTCAATAGCCCCCTTCCCCAACAACCTCAGCCAAACCCCCCTCAACTCAGAAGGAATCTGAGTTCTAAAAAACCTCAAGCAGCTGTCAGCTGACATTGATTCCCAACTATTATCCACTCCTGCTTACTCATGTCCCTCACTGGCATATAACTCTACCCTCACCTCACCCTGGATGCTGCAGCCCCTCTCCAAATACGCACCTTGAGGAAGATACACCCCAACCGTGGCACACTAAATCAACACGCTACCTGGAGAGATGTACCCGTTCTGCTGAACGCTGCTGGAGGACGTCTCACAACGAGTCAGACTTTCTACATTACAAATTCATCTTGCGTTCATACAGCGCAGCCCTTGCCCTTGCCAAACAGTCATACTTTTCGTCTCTTATTAGCTCATGCTCTCGCAATCCCAAGCGTCTCTTTGATACCTTTGTCCTGCTGCGGCCACCCCCCAAACTAACGTAACAGCTGATAGTTTTGCATGCTTCTTCACTAACAAGATTGCACAGCTAATGAAAGAATTCTCACCACCATGCCCCTCACTTTCTCAACCACACCTGGATCATGCCTCTCCAACCCTTCCAACCTTCTCCCAGGCGACTGAACAAGAGGTGGCTGCGTTTATCCTTTCTTCTTGCCCCACCACTTGCCCGCTTAATCCTGTCCCATCTCACCTTATCAGATCTCTCTCCTCTTGTCTTGTGCCTACCTTAACACATATCTTCAATTGCTCTCTTTATTCTGGCACTGTCCCTGCTGCCCTTAAACATGCTACTGTAGTACCCTTCTTAAAAAAAAAAAAAGGTCTTGATCCATCCTCCCCTTCTAACTATCGTCCCATATCCCTGCTCCCTTTTTCCTCAAAGCTTCTTGAAAGACTAGTCTTTACCCGTCTGGCCTGCTTCCTCAACTCCAACTCTCTCCTTGACCCTCTTCAGTCCGGCTTCTGCCCCCTCCACTCTACTGAGACTGCTCTTATTAAAGTCACTAACAACCTATTCACAGCTAAATCCAAAGGCCACCACTCCATACTAATTCTTCTTGACCTCTCTGCTGCCTTTGACACCATTGATCATGTTTTCCTTCTCCAAACTCCTCAATCACTCGGTCTCTGTGACTCCCTCCTCTCGTGGTTTCCCTCATATCTCACCCAACACTCATTCAGTGTCTCCTTTTCTAATGATACCTACTCCTGTCTCAGTTGGAGTCCTCCAAGGCTCTGCCCTTGGTCCCATTCTATTTTCTCTTTACACTGCCTCTCTTGGCAAACATATTACCTCATTTGGATTCCAATACGACCTGTACGCTGATGACATTCAGATATATCTCTCCTCCCCGGACATCTCCCCTGATATCCTGCAACTTGTCACCTCTTGCCTTTCTTCTATCTCTGATTGGATGTCCTCATGCTTTCTGAAACTCAATCTTTTCAAAACAGAACTTCTTGTCTTTCCTCCTCCTAATATTAATCCTCCTCTCTTGCTCTCCCTTCAGATTGGTGGTACGCAAATCGGTCCATCCTTACAAGCACATTGTCTTGGTCTTACTTTTGATTCTGGCCTCACCTTTGAGCCTCACATCCAGTCTGTTGTCAAATCATGCCAATTCCACCTTAAAAACATCGCCCGCATCCGGCCCTTTCTTACACAAGATGCTACTAAAGAGCTTGTCCATGCTCTAGTAATCTCTCACAAGAGTTTCACTTCTATCTTGTGAGTGAATTACAAATAAAAGGTGTTACTTCTAATATACTTGTGCACTATGTGTTTGTCTCTCTGTTTATCTCCTTTTAAGGGGTAAAAGTGAAGAAACAGAGGTTGGCCTTCATCTTAAAGATACCTTTTTATGCCTACAATCAATTGCTTTCTTGTGAGTGCACTATTATAATCAGCGCTACCACTGTTTTTAATATAGATTTTGTATTAAAAAAGCAGCAGTCCTTAGAAAATTGTGCTACAACTGCCAGAATGCTCTCCCGGTGTGGCAGTATCGTGACATCTTCCATCTTGTTTGTTTGATTGGTATGACTTTGATAAGGGATAAGTCAGAACACTGAATGCGCGCACATTGTTTACATGACACTGTTTGTAATTGATATTTCTTTTCCTAATTAATATACAGGTCTTTCATTTCCTTTAGTTTGATCTGGTTTGCCAAAGGAAGGAGGAACTCGACATTTCTCAATCTATATACATGGTTGGCCTCTTGCTGGGAGCAATCATATTTGGTCCTCTAGGAGACAGGTAAGGAAAATAGAGTGTCTGTATTGGTATCGTTAGTAAATATGTACAGCCCTATGTTTCAGCTAAGAACATTTTAAACTAGAACTATTGTTATATGTTAAGACCAGAGGTTACGTTTTAAATAGTGAATTAATTTCCGGAGATATTCTGTTTTTTATTTCTCTATATCTGGTGACAATCCTGTAAACCTGCCTGATTCCGCCCAGGGCTGAGGCACAATGATCAGCACCTGGAAAGTTAACATATATGCCAAGTGTCCCATTTTCAATAGTACAGTCCTGATATGGGACCATGTCCCTCTGTGAATTGTATGTCAATGTAAGTACTGCACAATATGCAGTTTAATACAAACAGCTCGAAAAAATGATAAATTCAGCTGGCGTGTGAAAATAGCGACGTTTTTCTAGCTCCGATGTGTTGGTGTTAATATTGCCACAGTTTTACCACAATGCACCGTTTGGTATATGCTACCAAATAAGTTTTGTAACGGATCGTTTTGCTCACCAGAGGTTAAAACCGTTTAGGCGATATTCCCCTTTCTCAGCTACACCGACAGCTACTGTAAGCACCGGTCTCCTGAACTGGAAACACATGAACACTGGAAATATCCGAACAGGAAAACCATACAAAAGGGTTACACTCCTGGCAGTCAGTATACAATCAAATTCCCCCAATAACGAGACGACACTTTGTTTTGAGGGTTAAGCAGAATCTGAAGATTTATTCACACAACCTCCTTTTAAGACATTCTCCCATGCAAGGGAGGGATCCACAACAATTAGTACCCCAGCCAATAATGTACCAGTTACCTCCCACACATCTCCTCCACTTAGTGTGACACATAATCCCATTAGTCCAGACACAAATCCCCTGGGATACTGGATGTACCCCTAAACATAGGGATACCCCTTTAAATATTACACCCCCTGGTAGCCCTGATCTGGGTAAGACACATATCCAAAAATCACTCAGATCGGACCAGGGGTTCGGGAATTATGGAGGGTTAAAGTTTTGACCGACTGCATGGCAAAACTATCCGAAAATAGTTCCATGTATTTTGGCCCTGCAGTCGGTCACAGAAAAGGGAATGAAACACACGAATTGCCTGGGTTATAGAGCCTTGGGAGGGTTTAAACGAATTCCCTTGTTCATGGGGTTCTTTCTACCGAACGGCGGGTCATTCGGTCGTTTCCACACGAATTCATGGAAGTCTGGAGGTCTCAGCGGTGTTTGCCTAGTCGAGTGTCCGATTTTAGTTCCAGACACTCGACGGCAAAACACCACTGTTCGGGAGTTTAAGATGGCCGCCGCCACGTGTTCGTTTCCCGAATGGCGGCCACCCAGAGGACAAAGAACACATTACATAGATTGCCAATTACCGGTTTGCAACATTGTTGCAAATGGTAATTGGAGGCACACTTACTCCAGGGTGGTCTGGTTGTTCGGTAGTTTCACTCAATATAATGAATGGAGTGATTCTACCGAACAATCAGGGGAATGCTGCATACACATAACACCGCTTACCGAACGCATAATATTAAATACAGCCTGAATGCAATCTGCTACACAGTCTTAAAGGGCATTGTTCCTAACAGTCATAATATGTCCACGGATGGCCCTTAAAGGGCCAGTAGCAGCAATATAAAATACCATATGCCCAAATATTGCATTCAAAAGTACAAATTCACAAGGGACCATAGTCAGCAGGTAGGAGGCGGGCAGCCAGGCCTCTCCAATGTCCAGTGGCGAGGCAGCTTTCGCCACAAGTTTATTGAAGTCATATGAGGCAATGCAAAAAGTATGATTATGAACTGAATGAATACGTTGCCTAGACCTTTGAATGTGGCAACTAGAGCTATGCAGATGGTGGCCATCATCAGTCCTTGTCAGTATTTCTATACCTGACATGTATATTTATTATTGGTATTTATAAAGCGTCAACATATTCCACAGCGCTGTACAGTTGGGAAAAAAACAATACAATATAAACAAACCAATACAAGAGGTAGAGGGCCATGCTCATGAGCTTACAATCTAAAGGTTAAAATGGGGACATGAGACAAGAGGTAGCAGAGGAATTTGGAAGTGATGGCAGAGAGAATTAATATAATTCCAGTAATTGATAACATGTGAAGGGAACGAGGAGGTGATTGACTGTGATTCCAAAATGATGTATATGGCTTGGATCTATGTATACGTAGCATGATTTAAAATGAAAGAGTTTATATTTTAAAGGATTGGGCGACGTCCTGTAATCTTAATCTCATTGCTGATGCAGTTGTCCGTCGGCCTTGGGACCGCATTTGTCCCACATTTTTATGTGTACACGGCTCTTCGATGTGTGGTGGGAATCGCCATGTCTGGACTTCTGATAAATAACCTTGTTTTAGGTAAGAAATGTTCCAAATGTACATTAGTCAGACCCAATTACCATTACATTACTGTTTAAAGTTCATCAAAATCAGATATCGTAAAATGGCAGACTACATTTGCCAACTGGTTCTTATCCAAGTATATTTTAGTATCAATAGAACATAGAAACACGTTATATTGTGCATGTCTCTTTCAGCTGGACGTTTACATATACTAACTATTCTACCAGAAAGGGAAGCCCATTGTGTCAAACAGTATTTCCTATATTTGCACAACTATAACTTTGTAATGGCACTCATTTTAAAATGAAATAATAAATTAGCACAAATAAAATAGCTACATTTAAAACAAATAAAATGTAATAATTTTCTAATGCTAAAGCTGTAATACAATGTTAACTGTAAAAACATATTTACTATAAACCGAGAATAATATTATTATTAACAGCAGAAACAGGGATGTGTGAAAGCTTGAACTTGATAGACTGGCTTCTTTTTCTCAAAATATTCCTATTGGTTTTATACCTGTCCCATACTTCCAGGTGTGTTTTATCCAATATTTTTAATGAACGGTCCCGCCCCCATATCTGCTTCATTTCACCTTCCACCTTGCTAGGTTCCATGACGATGATGACTCCCGATGCTAACAGAGAGGTGGGGATGTGTCAAAATGTATCTCTGCTTTTCTATGTTATGTCCCTCCTCGCTAACCATGAACTGCTGCTTCTGGGATATTTTTGGGATATCAATGGAATCATGAACGAGCACATTCTGCACAGCTAGGCGTGAGGCCCTACCAGACTACATAACTAAATGATGTGCAGCAAAGTTTTGTTGCCCACCACTCCTTCCAGAGAGTCATCTCCGGGGCACCAAACCCTTTCTCTAAGTAGCCTGATGGAGCACTATACTAATGATTTTTCTTTGAGAAGCAGCTGTTTGATGTAAGAAACAAAAAAAATCAAAACAAAAAAAGCACTTATATCCACCAACTCGAAAGAGCCCCAGCCTCAAAGGCCACCCCCCAGGCAACGCCTATGTAAGAAATAGTACGTTCTCAGCCTATCACCAGATGCCAAAGCAAATCTTCCTGCATGTGTAAGCAGCACAGATAACAGTTTAACTCTTGAAGATAAGATGGCTCCCAGGCATTTATGACCCCACAACAAATGTATTCAGATGAAGTTGTTTTGAGGGTGGGAGAGTTCCTTTAATTGTTGTTACATGCACTCATATTATATTATATACCATTAATATGTCTATGTAAACAACATCTCCAGGGAAATTACCTCTACCAAATGTCACTGGTACATAGCAATATTACCTCTACTGAACACCACTGGTACATAGCAATATTACCTCTACCAAATGTCACTAGTACATAGCAATATTACCTCTACCGAATGCCACTGGTACATAGCAATATTACCTCTACTGAACACCACTGGTACATAGCAATATTACCTCTACCGAATGCCACTGGTACATAGCAATATTACCTCTACCGAATGCCACTGGTATATAGCAATATTACCTCTACTGAACACCACTGGTACATAGCAATATTACCTCTACCGAATGCCACTGGTACATAGCAATATTACCTCTACCGAATGCCACTGGTACATAGCAATATTACCTCTACCGAATGCCACTGGTATGTAGCAATATTACCTCTACTGAACACCACTGGTACATAGCAATATTACCTCTACCGAATGCCACTGGTACATAGCAATATTACCTCTACCGAATGCCACTGGTATGTAGCAATATTACCTCTACTGAACACCACTGGTACATAGCAATATTACCTCTACCGAATGCCACTGGTACATAGCAATATTACCTCTACTGAATGCCATTGGTACATAGCAATATTACCTCTACCGAATGCCACTGGTACATAGCAATATTACCTCTGCTGAATGCCACTGGTACATAGAATATTACCTCTACCGAATGCCACTGGTACATAGCAATATTACCTCTGCCGAATGCCACTGGCACATAGCAATATTACCTCTACTGAACGCCACTGGTACATAGCAATATTACCTCTACCGAATGCCACTGGTACATAGCAATATTACCTCTGCCGAATGCCACTGGTACATAGCAATATTACCTCTACTAAACACCACTGGTACATAGCAATATTACCTCTGCCGAATGCCACTGGTACATAGCAATATTACCTCTACTGAATGCCACTGGTACATAGCAATATTACCTCTGCAGAATGCCATTGGTACATAGCAATATTACCTCTACCGAATGCCACTGGTACATAGCAATAGTACCTCTACTGAATGCCACTGGTACATAGCAATATTACCTCTACCGAATGCTACTGGTACATAGCAATATTACCTCTACCGAATGCCACTGGTACATAGCAATATTACCTCTACCGAATGCCACTGGTATGTAGCAATATTACCTCTACTGAACACCACTGGTACATAGCAATATTACCTCTACCGAATGCCACTGGTACATAGCAATATTACCTCTACCGAATGCCACTGGTATGTAGCAATATTACCTCTACTGAACACCACTGGTACATAGCAATATTACCTCTACCGAATGCCACTGGTACATAGCAATATTACCTCTACTGAATGCCATTGGTACATAGCAATATTACCTCTACCGAATGCCACTGGTACATAGCAATATTACCTCTGCTGAATGCCACTGGTACATAGAATATTACCTCTACCGAATGCCACTGGTACATAGCAATATTACCTCTGCCGAATGCCACTGGCACATAGCAATATTACCTCTACTGAACGCCACTGGTACATAGCAATATTACCTCTACCGAATGCCACTGGTACATAGCAATATTACCTCTGCCGAATGCCACTGGTACATAGCAATATTACCTCTACTAAACGCCACTGGTACATAGCAATATTACCTCTGCCGAATGCCACTGGTACATAGAATATTACCTCTACTGAATGCCACTGGTACATAGCAATATTACCTCTGCAGAATGCCATTGGTACATAGCAATATTACCTCTGCCGAATGCCACTGGTACATAGCAATAGGACCTCTACTGAATGCCACTGGTACATAGCAATATTACCTCTACCGAATGCCACTGGTACATAGCAATATTACCTCTACCGAATGCCATTGGTACTTTGGCACTAAAGTGAGAACCGGTGAGAATAGGAGAATGAACTGGGGGGATATCAGATCTGTACAAGGTTTGTGTTTCAAATTGCAAATTGTGAAGTCATTTGTCTGTGTAATAATTCTTTGTAATGAATTTGTTTTGATTTTAGTTGCTGAATGGGTGGGGTCGTCAAGACGAGCGGGTGCCACAATCATTACCCATGTCTGCTTTGCAGCGGGGCAAATGGTCTTGGCAGGGGTGGCTTACGGCATTCGCAACTGGCGATTGTTGCAGATAGTTGGGTCTGTTCCTGTCGCCCTGTTATTTTTCTACATTTGGTAAGTAAAACACGCAACAATTTTAAGTCTCCAACTGACATTTTCCAAAGAGTGACCAAGGTTTTCAATATTAAACCATTACGTGTCCTAATGTGAATACATTGTTGCATTCCAGGTTGGAGAGCAATGCATTAATGTATGCCAGGTAGATGGACTATTTACTGACTTGTACCAAGGATGTTTGGAATGCACTGCTATGTGCTATATGCTCAGCCAATCAGAACACAGCTAGAACTAGACTAATGGTCATTGACCTTAAATCCCACACATGAGAATAACTTAAAGGAACACTATAGTCCCCTAAATTACTTTAGCTAAATAAAGCAGTTTTAGTGTATAGATCATTCCCCTGCAATTTCACTGCTCAATTCACTGTCATTTAGGAGTTAAATCACTTTGTTTCTGTTTATGCAGCCCTAGCCACACCTCCCTGGCTATGATTGACAGAGCCTGCATGAAAAAAAAACTGGTTTCACTTTCAAACAGATGTAATTTACCTTAAATAATTGTATCTCAATCTCTAAATTGAACTTTAATCACATACAGGAGGCTCTTGCAGGGTCTAGCAAGCTATTAACATAGCAGGGGATAAGAAAATCTCAATTAAACAGAACTTGCAATAAAGAAAGCCTAAATAGGGCTCTCTTTACAGGAAGTGTTTATGGAAGGCTGTGCAAGTCACATGCAGGGAGGTGTGACTAGGGTTCATAAACAAAGGGATTTAACTCCTAAATGGCAGAGGATTGAGCAGTGAGGCTGCAGGGGCATGTTCTATACACCAAAACTGCTTCATTAAGCTAAAGTTGTTCAGGTGACTATAGTGTCCCTTTAATAGCGGCGTACCTGATATACATTTTGCCACCATATTTGTTTTACTAAATGTATGGGTTTTTTTTTTACATATTTGTTTAATCTTGAGCATTACTGTACATTTAAAAAATGACACTGCTGTTCATGCAGTAAATATGTTTTTTTTTTTTGTTTTTTAATGGCAGGGTCCTCCCAGAATCCCCAAGGTGGCTTTTAACTAAAGGGAAGTATGGAAAAGCCAAAAAACTTCTTCAGAAAGCAGCGTCTTTGAATAAACAAACTTTCTCTGAAGAGCTGTTTGAACAGGTAGTTGATGAATACACTTTTATGGATTGCAAAGTGCAGAGTACACAACATCCCACATGTTGTTTACCAGTACATAGAAGAGATAAGCAGTTACAGATTGTTGGGTATTATGTTTTCATTTTTTCTGTGCATGAAATTAATACAGACAGACCAGTGGTACCCCAACGGCATTCCACAGGTTTAAGGTTTTCCAGTATAGTTGGAGTAATAGATTATATATGCACAATTTTATGGTATTATGAAGTTAGCATTTATTATAGTTCTCGTCTGGTCTAACTAGCAGGTGTACAGGCTAGGCGAATCGTGCGTGTTATGGCTAGAAGACAAGCTAGGGGAGATGCTAAGAGTTAAACAATCTGATCTAAACAATCTGATCTACAGCCAAGCTATGCTACCACTTGGATTTAAACATGAGGGTTAGCTTAGGTGCTTCGTCCGACAGGGTTGTGAAAGTTCTATAACGAGGAACTTGTTCCGCTGAAATCAATGTAGCTCACAATGCCCAGTTTGATACATCACAGTGGTCTGGAGCTGTGTATGAATGGTGTTCTACTCCCTAGATTAGATTAAACAGTCCCGGTCTCGCTGGGTATCAGGTATAAAACTATTGCTCATAGACCTGGTGCTGGGAGTTTGGGAGATCCGATAAGCATTGTCACTGTCAGCCAAAGCCCTTCTTCGGGAAGTAGCAGGAGTCATCTGAGGATTTGTAGGTTGCCGCAGCCACAGAGACGGCAGTGAGGGTGTCCCCCCAGCCCCCGGCTTGTGCGTAGGCCTGCATCTAGCTGCCAAAAACTCTGTGGCTTCTGGTGCCCGAGTTTTCTCCCTGTGTGGGAGTGACGGAGGGCCTGGTGATTTTCGGCCGCTTGCGACGTCTGAGCCTCCGTGGGTGTGGGTGATGCCAGAGTGGGCTCTGGAGTTTAGAGATAGGTGGGTGGTCTAGAGTTGTGCCCAAGGGTGTATTCCTCGACCTCCACCGCCCCTAGCCCCACTCACCCATTGTCTGTGGATTTCTCTGTGCGGTCTGTGCTGCCTGCTGCCACTCCCATATCGTGTTCCAGAAACCTTAAAAGATTTAGTCCAGGCGTTGCATGGTGTCGTTGATGGGCTTGTGCCGTTGGATTGGGGTCTGTAGGAGTGGTGCGCTGTCGGCCGCCATCTTAGGTGTGCCGCATGGAGGACCCCACCTTCTTGACGCTGCTGCATGATTTAGGGCGGGCTGACTGCTCCAGGTGCACTGTGAGGATCGGGATAACCCCTGCTGGTCCAGAGGGGAGGGGTTAGGAGGTAAATTAGCTGGGGAATCCATGCGCTGGGTCACCAATGAGGAGAGCGGCCGCCTCTCCACTGCAGGATCGCAAGTAGGCCTCCCAATATATTTTGGGGTTCCCGTTCGGTTGCACGTTGGAGTTTGGTATCATTCGATTCTCCCGGGTGTCCCCGATTTGTCTGTCACCCTCCAGGTGTAGTGCGTGCCGGTTTTCTGGGGTTTTTGCCCCAGTTTGTGCAGGATTTGCCAGGAGCTTATTGTCAGCACGTCTATTTAGCCTGGGTGTTAGGCTCCACTCCCTATTGGGTATTATTTATGGGAGAATGGTTTCAATATTTAGGGGTTTACATTCAATGAACAGTGAATTGTGCTGAATTTAAAACCAAATTGCATCAAATAAGCCAAACTAGATGGAAAAATTCTATGAGCCATTCATTTTAATTTTAGAAAACCTTTTCCATTTTATATTTTAAAGGAATACTATAGTGTCAGGAATACATTTAATAATGGTAGAACGCTGGTCAAGCATTTGCTTGGATCCCCTGGACCCTTCCTCCCCACTCCCTGGCATGCAATCTGTGTGTTACTAACAGACATACTGACACACAGACACATATACTGACACACACAAACACTGACAGACATACACACACACACACACAGACTGACCGACATACTGATACTCACTCGGACACACTGACACACATACTGACAGACCTACTAAAAATCACAGACATATACACTGACATGTTGCTGAGGGTCTGCAGAGGCAAGCAGTTTTTTTTGGACCGCCTTCAAGGTTGGCCAAAATGTAGATCCCTATCTGTCGTACAGGTTCACAATGCTTTACTAGCTAGGGATCTACAGTTTGCCCATCCTTGCAGGGTTGTATTTAGCACTCAGCAATGTGTGTGTGTGTGTTTGAATGTAAGCATGTTTTTGTAAGGTGTATGTGTGTGTGAATGTTAGCTTTTGAGTGCAGGCGTGCATTTGTGTGTAGTGTTTACACTGCCACTCATAGATACACATACAGATACACAGACACACACAGCAACAGACATGCAAATACAAAGACACAACTCTGACACATACACAGAGATACACCCACTGGTACTTACACACATTGACACACAGATACTTACACAGACATCCGTTAGGTAAGTGTGATAGTGTTTGGGAAGTAGGTGTGAGGGTAGGTGAGCATTCCACAGTCAGGGAGTGAGAGTGTCAGGGTTGGGGGTTTGAATGTGAGTGTTGGGGGTTTCTAAGTGATTGTGAGAAGGTGGCGAGTGTAACAGGGTTAGGGCCGGGGTGGTTAGTGTGATGGAGTTAGGGGGGCTAGTGAGACAGGGCTGGGGGGGCTAGTGAGACAGGGCTGGGGGCTAGTGAGACAGGGCTGGGGCGGTGAGACAGGGCTGGGGTGCTAGTGAGACAGGGCTGGGGTGCTAGTGAGACAGGGCTGGGGTGCTAGTGAGACAGGGCTGGGGGGAGTTAGTGAGACAGGGCTGGGGGCTAGTGATAAAGGCCTGGGGAGCTAGTGAGATAGGGCTGGAGGGGGCTAGAGAGACAGGGCTGGGGGAGCTAGTAAGACTGGGTTGGAGGGGCTAGTGAGACAGGGCTGGGGGCTAGTGATAAAGGCCTGGGGGGCTAGTGAGACAGGGCTGGAGGGGGCTAGAGAAATGGGGCTGGGGGAGCTAGTAAGACAGGGTTGGAGGGGCTAGTAAGACAGGGCTGGAGAGGCTAGTGAGACAGGGCTGGGGGGGGCTAGAGAGACAGGGTTGGAGGGCTAGTGAAACAGGGCTAGTGAGACAGGGCTGGGTGGGGCTAGTGAGACAGGGTTAGGGGGTTGGAGACAGGGCCGGTGCTTGGATTTTTAGGTACATAGGCGAAGATGCATTTTTCCGCCCCCCCCTCAAAAAAAAAACATCTTCACCTATGTGCCTCTTAACCAGCCCCTCTCCCCTCCCTGACCATTAGTAGTCCCTTCCCTTCCCTGTCCCTTAGTGTTCTTCTCCCCTCCCCCTTTTCCCTGTCTCTTGGTGTTTCTCTCCCATTCCCTCCCTGTCCCTTGGTGCACCCCACACCCCTTTAGTGGTCACACTCCCCTTCCTGGTGTGCCTCCTACCTCTATTGTTGCATTGCCGAGTGGAGCAGATCCCCTAAAGGAGCTTCAGTTTTCTGTACCCGGCCAGACTGACAGGGAGTGCTCTCACTCATCATACACTGACAGACACACTCATACACTCACATGCACACACACTCATACAATCACTCACAGACACACACACTGTCACTCACACACACACACTGTCACTCACACACACTGTCTCACTCACAGACACACACACACTGTCACTCACAGACACACACACTCTGTCACTCACAGACACACACACACTGTCACTCACAGACACACACACTGTCACTCACAGACACACACACACTCACTCACAGACACACACACTCTGTCACTCACAGACACACACACACTCTGTCACTCACAGACACACACACTCTGTCACTCACAGACACACACTGTCACTCACAGACACACACACACTGTCACTCACAGACACAGTCACTCACAGACACACATCACATACATTCACTAATTATTTTTATAACTACATATTTTCCACCCAGCCTCCCTACCTGGAGAGCTGGTGTGGATGATGGATCGGTCCCTGAGGGCTGGGGGGGCTGGTGCTGCTGGGCGGCGTGCGGCAGTGCTGTGATCAGGCGCGCGAGGGAGCTCTAATCTCCACCCTCTGCTCCCTCGCGGGCTGCCTACTGATGCTGCGGGATGACGTCATATTCCGGCTCCCGCGGCATCAGCAGACAGCGCGCGAGGGAGCAGAGGGTGGAGATTAGAGCTCCCTCGCGCGCCTGATCACAGCACTGCCGCGCCGGGGGTCGAGATGGTGGCCGGGCAGGAGGGAGAGCTTCTTAAATCATGTTTGACCTGGAGACTCCGTGACTGACAGGTGATTGACAGGTCTCCTTTTTTTTGTACTCATTTATAAATGTTAATTTTCTGTTCTTTACTTTCTCCTTTTTTTTTTTTTTAGATACACGAAGAGAAACCAACCACATCAGGAAACATGCTGGACCTTTTCAGAAATCAAAAGCTCAGGAAAATCAGCCTCATTATGAGTTTTGTATGGTAAGATGGGTAACAATTAATTTAATTATAAAAAAAAAAAAAATGCCTTGTCTGACCCTTCACTTCCCTGCTGTGATCTCTAAAGAGGTGATAGTGTTCCACTTCTATAACACTGGTCCACCCGCGTTTTTCCTCTGTACTGATTTGCCCTGCTCGGGGACAACCTCAAACCTCTTCCATAACATTGACCTACTGGCTTTGGTGCCAGTGTGCTACCGTCTGAACAGAGTGATGTCACGTGACCCTAGCACCGGCTAGGGAGTTACCATAGCAATGCAATATTATAAAAGGGTAAATTTAGCAAGAAATTAAAAAATTACAGGAAAATGTTACAGGAACAACAGGTTGATGAGGAACACTGCTTACAGTTTAGAAGTGGTGGGGAATAAAAAAAATAAACACAACAACAAGGGCATCAAGAGGCATAACAAGTGACAAGATGGGGAAGTAGCAGAAATGGAAGGTGAGAGTGGAGTGTGACCCTTTAAAAGAGAGCAATAGTCAGGTTTTTGAAGCAGAAGTTACTTTAGGAGGCCACACGCTTTTCTGAAGGTGTTTTGAGGGACTAATTGGTTCCTCTTAATAATAGTAGTGTTGACAGATGTGTTGACATTTTCTGGGTAGCTATAGTATGCTGCAACTTTGACCGGAGTCAAAGCTTTTTACATATTTTTTTCTATAAAGGTAGATTTCCCAAAAGACAGACTTTGTATTTCCCAGACAGCTGGTAATAAGGCAATGGGCCATAAACAACAATGACCCCTTTTTCCCAGATCCTTGACCATTGTATTAATACAATTTGTATTTTGTGAAAACACTCCTTGGTTTCCAGATGACCCCTCCCCACCATGACATTTCTGTTTGGTCTTGTTTGGTTGTGGGAACACCTCTATATTGGGGTACTGGGAATTCCTTGTTTATTTACTGCAACATTCAAGGCCTAATCTGTCATCTACTGACTCCCACAAAAGTCAATGCCTTCATTCGAGGATTTGTGTTTCCCATTTCATTTTTTTTTTAATTGACATTTCTTTTGTATGTAAAGAGTACGTTATTTCCCATTTCATCTTTCTGAGAAAATATCAGCATTTTATAACTTCTCTTTGTAACTTTGGTCATAGGTTTGTGAACAGCCTGGTCTACTATGGTTTGAGTCTGAACGTTGGGAGCTTCGGTTTGGACATATACCTCACTCAGCTTATTTTTGGAGCTGTGGAAATTCCGGCTCGTCTTGGGTCCATATTTTTGGTTCAGATATTCGGAAGAAAGTTCAGCCAGGCTGGGTGTTTACTACTGGGTGGAGTAGTTTGTCTCATTGTTACTGTAATATCAAAAGGTAAGTCATGAATTCTGAAAATAATTTGTAACAAAATGTTAAAAACAACCGGCTAGTTGTTAAATAGATAGTTTCTTCAGATTTGTAGGTTATTGTCCATTTTAGTTGTCACTGATGGAGATGCATTAATTTTAATAGATCCATCTTTTCTACGGTACAAAGTATGTAGCTGGTCAACACCCAAATGGCCCCTGGCTACCACAGACAGTTATTATATAAATATAATAACATTATATTGCATAGTTACATTGCTGAAAAGAGACATGTGTCCATCAAGTTAAGCCTTCTTCACATCTGTTTTTGCTGTTCATACAAAAGGCAAACAACTCAGTTTGCAACAAACTGGCAAAAAGATCCCCTTTGACCCCAGAATGGCAGTGAGATATCTCCTTGGATCAAAAATCATTTACCCCACATTTTAAAAATGACATCCCTGTATATTATGTTTTTGAAAGTATTCATCCAATTGCTGTTTTAACAACTATACAGATTTTGATAAAACCACCTCTTCAGGCAGAGAATTTGATATCCTTATTGTTTTATTGCAAAAATTTGTCTTAGACTAAATCTCTTTTCTTCCAGTCTAAATGCATGACCTTGTGTCCTATGCATGGTACTGTTTATGAATAGATTTCAAGACATTGTTTTGTATTGGCCCTGAATATTTTTGTATAGTGCCATCATATCACCTCTGAGGCACAATTAATGATGACAGAATTGGACAGGTTTCTTAGTTTCAAATAGATTGCAGACTCTTTGAAGGTGGCACTATATGTTCAAAAGAGCCTATCCATATTTTTGGACAGATAAATTCTAGCATTAGGTCATGTCCCACAAAAAAAAAGTATTTTTGCAGCCGTAGCCAAAGAAATTAGTTTTTAATATTTTGTGTTACTTATATTTGTTTAGCCCTAGTGATGAATGTAAAGGTATTATTCTGAAAATTTGTCTAGGCGTTACATCTTTGAGGAATTGTCCACAATGTAAAGAATTTACAATCTGTTATGCGGAGAAGGGGTGAAACTTTAACAGTCTATATTATATAACAGTCTACAGTCTATATTATATTTATTCACATACTGGTTTTCCTGTCTGTTTCAGACTTACCTATTGTAATCACATCCCTTGCAGTTATTGGAAAATTTGCAATTGCGTCTTCATTTTCCATTTGCTACATTTACGCAGCAGAACTGTTTCCTACAATAGTCAGGTAAACATGAAAAGAGGGACAGGGGAAACATGATCCTCAACATGTGTGTCTATCAAAGTTATCTAATCTTCGAGTATTAACATGTTATATATATCAACATACAAATCTACTTTTTGTAGCGTTTGTTTGGATTTGAATGATGGGTCATGGAGTTCATTATACGTTTGAAGAATTGGTTGAAAAAGTGGTGCTATGTATGCAATGTGGTGCAAGAAGCATTCGCTAGAGGAATAATCACATGTTATGTAGGTGCCGTGATGAAGGCAGGAGAACTAGCTGCAGAAGAGTCCTCATGCTACGTCTTGTAGCTCAGCCTGTAGCGGAACGCTGGTCTCTCATAGACTATTTCCACTGGTAGTCCTGGTGTGGCTCAGGAACATGTAGTAACCCCAGGAGAAACATCCACAGTAATAGAATAATCCAACAGCGTAGCAAGCACAATCAGCAATACAATCCAATAATATCCCATCACCTTTCCCAATAACTGGACGACACACAGTATCAGGAGCAGAACTGAACTGACTTTTAATCACACAAACCCTGCTTTTATGCAATGCTCCTGTGCAAGGGAGCCACCCACAATAATTAGTATGTTAACCAATAAAGTACAAGGTACAACCCACACATCTCCTCCCATCAGCTTATCTGTTAACAGAATTAAAATGTACATATTTTTCCCCAAGTTCTAGATGTACCCCAAATACATAGGGTACACCCCTAAATCTGGTAGCCCTGATCTGGGTAAATAACATATTCAAAAATCACCCAGATCGTACCAGGGGTTCGGGAGTTATGGGGGTTTAAAGTTTTGACTGACCGCACAGACAGTAGCCGAAAATAGTTCCATAAGTTTTGGCCTTGCGGTCAGTCTCCGTTTGCGGAATAAAAGTCACAAAATGTTTGTCTTCCATGGCTATATTGGTGTTCGTGTGAATCCCTATATTTGCATTAGTTTTTCTACCAAGTGGCGGCTCGTTCGGTTGTTTCGGCACGAATTTATGGAAGTCTGGAGGTCTCAGCGGTGTTTGCCTATTCGAGTGTCCGATTTTAGCTCCAGACACTCGACGGCAAAACACAGCTGTTCGGGAGTTTAAGAAGGCCGCTGCCACGTGTTAAACTCCCGAAATGGCGGCCACCCAGGGAGTTGAGCAAAGCGTTCGCGGGTTTCAATAAGAATGTATTAGATGAACAGGGAGGTAGATTGAAGCATCAGGGTTGTCCGGTGTTCGGTAGATTTAGTTCGTATACAAAATGCAGAGAGTCAGTACAGTTTTAGGTGAACAATCAAACGAATGCTTTTTAAATCCACACAAAAGCCTTATGACAAATCCATACGGAAGTCTTAGTAGTTAAATAGCAATAATGAATCCTCTGTACAGTCCAATGTCTCTGCTATTCCATATGTCCTTGGCTGGCTCTCAAAAAGGGCCAGCAGTGCCATGCCAACCACCATTATGCCCTGCCATTGTGTTTAAAGGGTCCCATCTTCCAGAGCAAGCAGGCCCCTCCAAGAAACCGGGGCAGACTCTTGTACAGGGGCTAGTCCGCTACACAGCCAGTCTAGCAATCTGATTGCACCACGCACGGGTATTGATAATGGGGGGATAGGGGAAAGTCAACCCCGAATGTAAGGCCCTATAGCCCCAGATCTTTTTTTTTGCAGTAAGTGCTTTTATTGACCAGTGGGGAGATCAAAGAACTCCCTCACCGGCCTGTTGCACCCACTGTAGGGAGTAAGGGGAAGGTGAGATATCCTCTGGTCTCAGTTTTTGCGAGGCGCAGACCTGGTGATGGCTCCTGTGAACGCTGGAACTGTGGGTTATGCCAATGCTCTGATACCATGAGAACTATTAAATGATGTCTGTACCTGCCAAGTGGCAGAGAGGCCAGAGTCTGTGCACACTGGAACCCCTCCCTGCCCCAAGGAGGACTACATTTTATATATATAAAGTATATTGCATCCACAACATGTACACATTGCATGTGGCAGGGTTGGTGTTTGGGGAGGGGCTCTAGGACAGGGTAACCAAATTGTTTTTGTGCACATAATTATTGTTTTCGTACTTGTTGCTCCTCACCTTCCTCGAAGTAAGTCGGGAAGGCCTTCGCCGTCTCGGGTGGGTGCTGTAGAGCTGTCTCGGAGGCAGTGTAGGATCCCTGGGTGTTTAAGGGGGACTCTTGTCACACAGCTTCCTGCAGAAGGCCTCAAACAGTGTGTCCAACTGCAGTTTGGGTCTTTTTTGACCCTTGCAACACCCCTGGCACTACATATAGACTCAATTTTATTTTATCTTTTCTCACAATCTTTATTTTTGCTAGGTCAGTACAGTGGTACAGAATAAAACAGGTGTAGTGATAATAAACAATCAGATAATAGTTATAAAGCACAGACATAGGTAACTAGTATAGTACCGTGGCCCATTAGTAGAGAACCTTGTGTTGATCATGAGATCTCAGAGTTTGATTTACATTCGCCCTGGTTTCTCATGCTTTATTAATGATGTCTGTACCATGACAGTTTTATGGTTTCTATCTTTTACTAAAGAGTTAATTACTCAAAAATGGAATGCAGAAGACGATTATAATATCATTGTCATGGGTCCTGTCTCAATACCCACGTCCCTCTTGTAGCAATCCTGAAACAATGACACTACACATGTTCATGGGAAATCTGACTTCATTCGGCTGCCAAAAATTGTGTTAATACCAGTGTATTAATTTTAATTTGCTGTTAGCAATGTAAATACTTATGGAATAAAATTATGTTTTTTTTCTGAGCTCAAAGTATGATCTATGCGTGACGATATAACATCTGAGTGCTAACAGACCTGCTTAATTTTTCCGAGAGAAGGCGATCCTCACCTGCTTTTTATGTAAAGCCTTGCAATTTTTATGTCAGCCACGCGCAAATAAATTGAGAATCCAAGCAAAATCAAAATACAAAATTTTAACAAATGTACACTCCCGATTCTCTACTTTAAATACTGCTTTAGTATTTATTCAAAGACGTATACTGAAGTCAGTATTGATGGAATAGCGATATAAATCATCATATGCAATGAGTGTGATTTACAGACTGGACAGTAGGTGGAGCTGTCACAAATGTATGTGTTACAGACTGAAGTACACTTTTATTTTGTTCCTTTAATGACTGTATTCTAATGTCTGACACTCTAATTCTAACTGATTTTGTTGTTTCTGTGTTTCTCATCTAATCCCCACCGATTCTTTTTGCCAATCAAGTTTGTCTTTTTATTCATTTGAATCCTAAAAATGTCTTCCATGTACATACGGCATCCCGTGTACATTATGCTCACATGTGATTTTCTTCCTCTGCAGACAAAGTGGAGTGGGGCTGTGCTCCATGGCAGCTCGAGTAGCCGGCATTACTTCCCCTCTTATTAGTCTCTTGGACAAATATCACCCAGCTATACCAATGGCCATTTTTGGTAGTGGTCCAGTTATTGGGGGACTCCTTTGCTTTTTATTACCAGAAACACGAAACAAGGAACTTGCAGACCACACAATGCAAGGTGACGTTATCCAGAGGTAAATCTAACAATATTTATGTTCCATTCTCCATACTACAAACACTCAATAAATGTATGTTATATATTCAAGGTACCATTGAGATGTTTTGAAATTGTAAAATATGTTCTGAATCTTTCATAACGAGCTAAAGTGGGAGCCCTCCAATGTTAGTGTGTTCATCTGGGAAGCAATATATAGTCATCGTAGTCACCGTATGAACATTAAAGGGGCACTATTGGCACCCTATGGGGATTTCACTGATGCTGGTGTCCTCATGCAGACCACGTAAGCTTGTTGAAGTGGTATGGGTGCAGGGTCCCAGTCCACCTTAATCATACAATGTAAATCATTGCAGTTTTATTATATTGCAGGACTAAGATGGCCTATAGCGGTTGTCAACAAACAGCTATTGGAGGCACTTCCTTGTCGCTAGGTAACTTTTGGTCGCCTAACTAACAACGGACATCCTCACTGTCTACATAACACCCAGCATCAGTAAAATCCCCATAGGAATTCATTGGAGCAATGCTTTCCCATGGGGGGAGCCTAATGTGCTTGCAGCGCTCGCCGCATTAGCCCCCCTGCCCGTGGGATGACGATGGTGGAGGCAGCCAACTACAGCCAACGCTGACCCAACACAAAGGTAGATCTGCGCTGGAATTGGCTAAGTGTTACAAGGGAGGGGGAGAGGCCAGAGCACTCAATAGTGTAAAGTATGCAACTTTGTATTCCTTACACTATAGAATACCTTTAATGACTTACCACTAGGCTAATCAGTAAAAATATGTATGAATTGTACCTAAAAATCAAATAATCAGCCCTGTACAGAAACAAAACAAAAATGGTGTCACTTATATCTGGTTATTATTCTGTGAAATATGCAAGGCTACTGGAACCACACCTTTGGATAACTGACAGTTATTGTATTAGTCTGGTTTCCAAAATAAATGCAGATACACAAACTGACACGCATGCAGTCTCTTAAAACTTGTCAAACTCTTAAAACGTATTTGTTGTTTTGTTTAGTAGAGCAAACGGCATCCCTAGTGACTACCTTATTAATGGAAAGGAATGTGTTGAAGAACTGGACAAAAAGTCCCAGAAAAGCACTCGCCTGTAAGACACACAACGTGGAGGTTACAGTGCATGGATGGGAATCTTGGTCCTTTCAGAGCTGCAGACGTCATGTTTTCAGGACCATCTTTACCTGTATGTTGGTAAATCTGTAATGTTTTTTTTTTCATAGTAAAACTATTTTTGAAAAATCTGTCTATATTTTGCTTTTATTTACTTTTGATGTATATCCTCTTTTAAGGTTTCTATGTAAAGGTACTGGTTATAAACTTATTATAACACCATGCTGTACCAACCCCCCATACCATGCTGTATCAACCCCCCATACCCTGCCATACCAGCCCCCCATACCATGCCGTACCAACCCCCCATTCCATGCTGTACCATCTGCCGACGTCGATCAACCCCCATACCATGCCGTATCAACCCCCATGCCATGCGTCATCCAACCCCATACCATCAACCCCCATACCATGCATTATCAACCCCCATACCATCAGCCCCATGCCATGTATACCATGCTGTATCAACCCCCATACCATGCCGTATCAACCCATCCATACCATGCCGTATCAACCCCCATACCATGCTGTATCAACTCCCCATGCCATGCCGTACCAACCCCCATACCATGCCATATCAACCCAACCCCATACCATGCTGTATCAACCCCCATACCATGCCATATGCAACCCCCATAACCACCCCCCATACCATGCGATCAACCCCATACCATGCCATATCAACCCCATACCATGCTGTATCAACCCCCATACCATGTCGTATCAACCCATCCATACCATGCCGTATCAACCCCATACCATGCCATATCAACCCCCATACCATGCTGTATCAACCCCCATACCATGCTGTATCAACTCCCCATGCCATGCCATCCAACCCCCATACCATGCCAGATCAACCCCCCATACCATGTATCACCCAATGCCGCACCAACCATACCATGCTGTATCAACCCCCATACCATGCCGCCATGCCGTATCAACCCCCATACCATGCCGACAACCCCCATACCATGCATCAACCCATACCTGCCGTACCAACCCCCACCCATGCCATCAACCCCCATACCATGCAGATCAACCCCCATACCATGCCATCAACCCACCATGCCCCCCATACCATGTCAACCCACCCATACCATGCGTACCAACCCCCATACCATAATGCCGTATCATCCCTACCATATGCTGCTGTATCAACCCCATACCATGCTGTATCAACCCCCATACCATGCCATATCAACTCCCCCCATGCTGTATTAACCCCCCATACCATGCTGTATCAACCCCCATACCATGCCATAAAATACCATCTTGTATTAACCATTTAAAATGCTGTATTAACCTCATGCCATGTTGTATTAACCCGACACATAGCAACATCCTTACACTGTGCTGCATAATTAACTACAGATATAATGCATTAAAGTGATACTCTCACAAATTGGAGGTGGGATTTCTCAAACAATAAAAGAGTACCAAAACTAGATCCCAGGCTTCCAGGACTCACCTCGGGCTCCAGTGCAGGGCATTACCTGCTAGCAATACAATCTTTTTTTTATTAGTTATTAGTATTAATGTTTTATTGCTGTGTACCTCTGTTAGATACTCATACAAACCCAAACCATTTCTCATCTACTTTGTATTAAAAATAAATTTAAATAGGGTTGAAGCTGACTGTTAACTTAAAAAAAAAAATTAAATTTGTTGCATTGGCCGGGAATCGAACCCGGGCCTCCCGCGTGGCAGGCGAGAATTCTACCACTGAACCACCAATGCTCCAGATGTATAATTGAGAAGAGACCTTCATTTTTTGAACACAAAGTGCACATCTGGTTTTGTAGCATATTTCCCATAACTCAGGAACCAGCACAGAGAGCAAACGCCATTACAGGGCTGTGTAACATAACTTTTTTTAAATAACCTACTTTTTTTGTAAATGTTCTCTCACAGATTGGAGTTATTTACTTAACTAAGAACTGTCAGAAAGTGATTTAAAAGAGAATTTGAAAGTTTTAGGCCACAATAGCCAAAATTCTCCAAATCAGAGTTTGGCCTAAAAAGTGCCGAAGTAATCGAAGTTGCCGCCATTTTAGTTCATTCTCACGTGGTCAGCTGTGTTTTGTCATCGATTTTACAGAACTGAAATCGGCTACTCGACGGCACAAACACAGCTGAAGTTTACTTTCTCATCCACTTCGATGCTTCGGCTAAAGTCGAAATGAGTTTGACAATTTAAACGCCAGGTTATGCTGTACTATTTGCACGAACGGCCCTATTCGTGCATTTGACTTAGACATTTTTCTTGTGTGTAATTGACCTACCGCACAGAAAAGGACTCCCGACTAACTTTTGAACTACTGGAGGGATTTGTAGGATTTTTGAGTATGTGTATATTTCAAGTGTGCTGATTCTGAAAATGTATGTTTTATGTGAATGGCATGTATATTTTGGAAGTTATTCATATTTTGTAAAAACTGTATATTTTCTGCATGTGATAATTAAGTTAGTCTATTGTGTTGAGATAATTGTATCACAGGCAGAGGGGAGGATTTCTGATGTCACGAATGGGAGTGTTTAGCTGTGTTGTAACTTATTGATTGGTTGGTCTTCAAAACCCTGTGGGCAGTCCTTTTTGTGTAAAAATATGCATAAAAGCAGAGTGTTTGATTAAAAGTTTCAGTTCTGCTCCTGATACTGTGTGTCGTCCAGTCATTGGGAAAGGTGATGGGATATTATTGGATTGTCTTACTGATCGTGCCTGCTACTCTATGGGATTTACTACTTGTTCCTGAGCCACACCTGGACTACCAGCGGAAATACTCTGTGAGAGACCGGTGTTCCGCTACCATGTGCATTTATGTGTATTGTTGGTTTTTGAATTCAGGGGTGTCTTAACACCAGGTGTGTTTGTATGTAGTATTGATGTTTAAATGCATCAATACTACATGTTGTATGCTGTGTTAACGTTTGAATGCAAGGGTGTGTTTGTGTGTAGTGTTGGGGATTGAATGCCGAGATGTGTGCACATATACACATTACACATTAACTGCTGCACATACTGTGACACACATACACACACCCCAAAATAAATGCAGATACACAAACTAACACGCATGCAGATATACAGACACATACACACACATACAGATACAGACTGACACAGATACACACACTGACACATAAAAACACAGATACACAACCTAACACACATATACACATACTGACTATATACAGATACATAGAAACACGCAGATATACACACAGACACACACTGACAGACATGATGACAAACACATACCCTGACAGACATACAGACACATCAAACATACTAACACACACACAAACACACTGTTGAACATACTGACACACACACACACACACACACACACTGACAGACATATTGACAGACAGAGATGCTGACACACACACTTACAGACCTACTGACACAGACACACACACAGACAGACATAATGACACACCTACACACACACGCACACGCACACAGACATACTGATGCATACACAGACACACATGCACACTTTACACTTTTAAAGCCATCCTCTAGTTTCCTTTGAGTACAGGAGTGTGGTTTCCTTGGGGTCCAGTGGCAGACAGAGGTAGTTGAGTGTTAGCCTTCAGCACTCTCGGTCTATGTGATCGACTGTCACTTCTTCCCATGCTACCGATTAGAAGGGGTCTGGTCCAACTGTTAATGGGCCACAGTGCTCGACCGGGCCCCTGCTGACACATGCCCACACGCTGTGGCACGTTATCAGTGCGACTGTGCCCCTGCTGACACATGCCCACCAGGTAGTGCATGGGCCACCCGATGTGTGTGGGCCACAGTGCAGCTGCACCACCAGCACTGGCGGACCTATGGAGAAGCTAAATTAAATGTTTGTGGGAAACGGGCCTACAGGGCAGCCGCTTTGGGTCCCCTGGAGTAACTGGGCCCAGGGCAACTGCCCCGTTTGCCTCACATTAATGACGGCCCTGTGCAGGTGGTTACATGTGTCAGGGCATTGGTGTAAGTCAATGCAGAGCCTACACCGCATGTCAGCCATACAGGACACATTTTTCATTTTTTTTATTTTTCCCCAACAAATTAATAAATTAAATGTTTGTCTATGTGTTCACGTCATGAATCAGTAGAGGTCCACCCTCTCAACATGTACCCGTAAAGGCATTTCTCTCTTCACATGGAGCAGTATGGCTACTTTCTGCTGTACAAGTAGGAGAGTCCTCTCTCCATGTATCAGTGAGGTGGTGGTATGCCCTCTCTCTTTGTATCAGTGGACGATATTATGCCCTCTCCTATACTCCAGTAGGGGATAATATGCCCTCTCCTATACTCCAGTACTGGATAGTATGCCCTCTCTCTATGTATCAGTAGGGATAATATGCCCTCTCTCCAGTAGGGGATAGTACGCCCTTTCTCCATGTACCAGTAGGGGATAGTATGCCCTCTCCAATACTCAATTAGGGGTTAGTATGCCGTCTCTCTATGTACTAGTAGGGGATAGTATGTCCTCTCCTATATTCCAGTAGGGGATAGTATGCTCTCTCTCCATGTACTAGTAGGGGATAGTATGCCCTCTCCAATACTCAATTAGGGGTTAGTATGCCGTCTCTCTATGTACTAGTAGGGGATAGTATACCCTCTCCTATATTCCAGTAGGGGATAGTATACCCTTTCCTATATTCCAGTAGGGGATAGTATGCCCTTTCCTATACTCCAGTAGGGTATAGTATGCCCTCTCCTATACTCCAGTAGAGTATAGTATGCCCTCTCTCCATGTACTAGTAGGGGATAGTATGCCCTCTCTCCATGTACTAGTAGGGGATAGTATGCCCTCTCTCCATGTACCACTAGGGGATAGTATGCCCTCTCTCCATGTACTAATAGGGGATAGTATGCCCTCTCTCCATGTACCACAAGGGGATAGTATGCCCTCTCTCCATGTACTAGTAGGGGATAGTATGCCCTCTCTCCATGTACTAGTAGGGGATAGTATGCCCTCTCTCCATGTACTAGTAGGGGATAGTATGCCCTCTCTCCATGTACTAGTAGGGGATAGTATGCCCTCTCTCCATGTACTAATAGGGGATAGTATGCCCTCTCTCCATGTACTAATAGGGGATAGTATGCCCTCTCTCCATGTACTAGTAGGGGATAGTATGCCCTCTCTCCATGTACTAGTAGGGGATAGTATGCCCTCTCTCCATGTACTAGTAGGGGATAGTATGCCCTCTCCTCACGTTCTAGCAGGAAGGTATTCTCTCTCCATCATGTATAGTGTAAAGGGTG